AATATAAGAAGAATATGGACACAGATATCAATTTCTTATTAACTACTCGAAACATTACAAAATCAATTAGTTTTATTTACATTGTTTGGAGTTATCTCTACAATGGAGATAATTACGACTTATATTTAAACTGTAGCTAAGCTTGGTATCTCTATCCTTACCAGAATTATGAAATCAGATGAAACTTTAAGATTCAAAGACAGGATTATATGATTAAGCTTGAATTCTGTGCACAGGATAACAACTGCAGAATGTAGGGTGTCTTGGATTGAACATGAAGCTGCTAATGCCCTAACAGTTATGGTGATGGGTGATATATAAGAGGACAGCAGTGATAAGCAGAGAAAACAAAGAAATACCTGATCTTTTTATAAAAAGAAAAACCTATTTTGAAACCAAATTCAATGGATGGGTAAGTTGCTCACTCTTGATGTCAAAGCGTTTTGTTTCCATATAAATAAGAAGTTAAAAGGGCAAAAGGTCAAAAGATATATGTTGAGGATTACTGCTGCATTTTCTCCTAAGAAATAATATTTGCAGAATTTTGCATATGCTGAAACATATAATGTCAAATGAAGATACATATGAAAAGGGGTTTTTGAGAAAAGCTTCATCATTTGAATGCATTTGATTTTTTTTATTAAGTCATTTGAACACCTTCAATGATATCTAGCAATGATAGAGAATGAACGATCTTGTGGGATTACACTCGGTATATGTTGTTGTTGCTAGAGAAGGAACGGTGTTTTGATGCTCTTTATTGGGGAGGAGGGGAGCAAACCTGAAAGAGGAGGAATTCCCATTTCGACACCCATGTGAAAGAGAGCATCCCGTATTTGATTTCTTTTGATCTTTCCTTTATCTTCTGTGTCTAAATCTGTGAAAAGATTCTCAGCCAACATGGCAAAGTCATCTTCATCTTCCAAAAACATTTGAAGAGTTTTCCCATCCAAAATTGCAATGACTATAGGATCATCTGAACATGGATATAAGAAATCAGTATGATTTTTCATTTCATCTAATAAAATTGGATCACTGATAGAATGAACAAAAAGACAAGTCTAGCACTTAACTATCCAACCCAACATAGAAGCATACAAAAAGACACCAATAACATACATAGCCAATTCAGAAAGAGCATGAAGTTCATATAGTCAAGGTTTGAGCATGTTTATTTTCCACAAATTGCAAGGCCATTCAAGAGTCAAGACATTATCCTCTTTCTGAGATTGTAATGTTTAGTTCAACTTCATCCAAAAAAAAAAAGAATTGCAATGTTTAGTTCAAAGAGAACTACTTAGTTCTTTTAACAGTTACTTGACTTACACTCTCCATAGGAAGCAGCTTTCTAAAGTGCAACTACTTGAAAGGTTAGCTTCCAGTCCATTTAGAATTTTAAGTAGTCTTAGACTCTTGGCGCATCTTTGGGAATTTGGATGCACCAAAATCAACACAAGACATCTGATCAATCTGTCTTAAGTGAGATTTGGAATATCAAAGAGTGAAATCTAAGGCATCTTGTACTCTACATCAATAGAGCTTATTATCACTTGGTTTTGGATTTCCTATCTCATCTTAACTAGCAAAATACCAATCAACAACATCTCAATCTCAAACTAGCTGGGGATGACTATATGAATCATCTGTTAAAGCGCATATCATTCCAATACTTAGGAGTTCCATAAAACTTGAGATTCTCAAATCTTACATTTGGATACCCATATATGTACAGAATTATTTCTTTCCCCGTTAAATAATAAATAGAGTTAAACAAGGCAAAAAAAGATTCTCTGCTAAGGCCAAGGTTTTGGTGAGTAGAGTAAGACTTCATAATTGCTGTCCCAATAAGTGAATAGACTGAATAGTAGAGTAACCTGAGGTCTTACAACTTACAAGAAACAAGCAAATTAATTGTAGTCCGCCTTGGTCTTGGGTGTAGCAAGTTGAGAAAGCACAAAATGCCCCCTCACCGCAACTGTTACTAAGAAAACATGCATGAAGAATGATTAAGTAAGAGCTATCCAACTGTCAGTATCACCTAAAATTTCCATATCTAAGAAACTGGTAGATAACTAATCTGATTATCTTATTGGTCAAGCAAAACCAATAGTATCTCCTCTTCAATTTCATCCTCAGTGTGCTTCTTTAAAATGTGATACTTGATCTTCAATCGCGTGTACATAAAAATTTCTTGTTAGATTCCTTATCCATCATACTTGGAATTATCTACATTCTCGGAACCAAAATTGTCATATTTCACTTTCTAGTCACAAATTCACTAGAAAGATTGCCAAAAAAAAGTTCACAAACTCTATTACTCCATTATTTTGAGACAAATGTACTAATTGATGTCCACTTCACCTTGACTGGTACATTGACCCCGGAGCAATGACATTCAACAATTATTAGTATTTTTTCTTAAATCCGACTTCTTCCACTGAGTGAAAATGACCTAAAAATTATGTATCACTGAGATTCCGACTTGATAAATATAACGAGTATCTAAATTTTTCTCCCCGATAGTTTGATCTTTCGGTCAATTACCAATAATTTCATGCTAGTACAATATATGAGTACTTCTGAACAAGTCAACACACTTACCTAGGAGTTCATTCGCAATGGCGTCTACGTAATTCCGGAGCACAGACAAGGCGTTTTCACGATCGAGCTTTTCACGGCGGAATTCAAGGTCATCGAAGACGCCGATGCGTTTAAGAGCGGCGGACTTGAGAGTATCCGGCAATGAGAAGCCGAAGAGTGATTCTGAAACTTTGGATTCTGCGACGTCGAGAAGCTGAGCACCGGTGACTGAACTGTCGGCCGGCGACGGTAACGATAGATCAACGGCTCTGAGCTGTGTTCCGTCCAAAATCGTCAATCCTCCGTCCGACATTTTCCTGCTAATGTGAGAGAGGAAGTCTTGAATTGGCGGAGAGTATAAGAAACGAAAACGCGTAGTAACGTACCGTTGTTTGACTTGACGCAAATATGCTTATGACTTTTTTTCCAAGTTTGACCAAGTATTTTATTATTTTATTTTTAATAACTTCTTTTTGATGTCCAAAATATCTTAATCACAATAAATTTTCTAACTTTTTCTTCACTCTGTATTCTTTTTTTTTTTCCCCTTTATACATATGTTTCTTAAATAAAATTGTAAGTGTATTATAATCATTCTAACAAATATACTTAGCTTGCTAAAGTTTTTTTAAAAAAAAAATCAAGATCATCATTGTTTATTAACAGTTTCAATACTATCATTCAAATATGTAGTTATTTATTTATAAAATTAACTTCAACACTAAAACATATTTTTCAACGCTTAAACTCATCAGTTAATTATAATTAATTAATCTTAACACTCTAAATATAATTAATAGTATATATTTAAGGAAAAAATGTATAAAATAGCAAATTATTAATTCAAATAAATTATATAACCACAATTTCATTTAATTCTAAATCATAGCAAATAGTTTGTCACTCGCCTCTTTCTCCAGAAATCTCACTCGCACTCTCCCTTGCCTCTCTCACTTTATACAAACACAAATGTATAAATTGTGTTTGTATAAAGCGAGAGAAAACTGTATATACACATACAACTACCGAACTCTTCGTCCTATACACTTATAATTATATAATACAAATCTTCATATGTTCAGTTCTCTTTTGCCTCTTTCTCTTTCTCGCTTTATACAAACACAAATTATATAAAATACAATGTATAATTTGTGTTGTATAAAGCGCACGCGAGAGAGAGATTTGCCAAATGTTTTAATTCGATTCAATTGTATACAAATTCAAATTTTATACAAGTATACAAACACAGTCATTGATACATATACATAGTAGTTACATATATACAATTATCTAACCGATATACATATACAATCGCTGCGCTTTTTATACAAATGAGATGTCTGCCTGCGATTTATACAAATGAGATGCTCTATAGCAAACTATGTTTGCTATGGAGCGCAAATAGCAAACTATGCTTGCTATGGAGCGCAAATAACAAAATTGTAGTTATAGAGCGCTAATATGAGTTTTATGTTTACTAAACCTAAAATTTACTCATTTAATACAAATAACTAGTAGGTTGGTGTCCGGAAATAATTCTTACGCCTTTACATACTAACAGAGCTAGAATGTAGGAAGCCAGCTAAATTAAAATCCAATAAAATTTTCAATTCTTAAATTTAAAATACAAGTAAAATTCTCATATGGTCATTTAACTTAACGAAATATGTAATAAAATTATTTATGTTATTTTTATATTAATAAAATCACTCAATTTAGTAAAATCGTATAGTAAAATTATTTATCCTCTTTTAAGTTATTAATCAGAAATACACTTAAACTATCATTTTTTAAAGAAAAATAAAATCACATCAACTATTCATTGTTCTCTTTACTTAAAAAAAGTCTGTCCAAACATGTTTTAATTAGTTTTCTCTTAAGTTTGTATGAAATAAATATATTTTGACCCAATTAAGTAGGCTATTTTTGGATGACCATTAATATATGTAAATTTGGTGAATTTTTCATATATTTTTTGGGTATAATATTTGATATTTTGGTGTTTCAACTTTATATTATTTCTTACACTGTTTCAATGTATGAATAATGTTACATTAGAAATGACGTAACTATTTATACACCAAATTAATTTATTTGACAGCTGAAATAATTAAATTTTTATTTCAAATTTATCCTTAGGAAAATATCTCTACACATTCTTCAATGTGTAGAAATACGTAGACACCATCATAAACTACCTAATACTAATAAGGTAAATTTTATCTTAATCTGAATCGTTGGATGAATTTCATCTTAATCTTAACTGTTAAATAGATTTTATACTTATCTCAAATTTATTTTTTTAAAGTAAAATATTTTTACACCTACTTTTAATATATAAAAATGAACATAATTTAAGTAACTCCATATTTTCAATCCATTTCAAAATCAAATCAAATGTACTTATTTGTCTTCTAAAAATGAATAATAATAATGATGAAAATTCCTCCTCCTCCTCTACATCATTTTTAGATTTATTTGATGATCATAGTGCAAAAGAGCAACAAGTAATTTTGCAAAATATTTGCATGAATAACTATATGTTACAGCATTATTTGCAAGAATATCAAAATATTGAAGTTTCTAGCGTTGGGGAAAAATTGGTAGGGATTCCCTCCAAAAAACCCCAAATTGTAAATTCCCTCAAAAACCCTAACTCAACTAACTGCTCGCTTAACCGCATAGCATTCTCCTCAGCCGCCTCTGTAGCTCCCAACGCTCCGCTCAATCAGGTAAGTTTTGTTCATGTATTTTGACTCTCGAGAAGCGAAATATGATAAGTATTTTGGGATGTAGGGAGTAGAATTTGATTTTTGGCTCAATCAGTAATAATTTTTCCATGTATGTGACTTAGGTATATTCACTTCTAGCTAATCCTTCAAAAATACTTTAAGCATCGCAAATTCTATGATATTATATCAAGTGGAAGATCCTAAGTAGTTTAGAGAACGCCTAAGGGCATCTCCAATTCATAACACCAAATTTTACACTAAAATGGTGTCAATCAGCACAGTGACACTATTCACACGCTAAAATAGTGTTGGGTTGGAGCCCAAAACACTAAATTTTACACCAAAATAGGATTTGTGAGCTATTGCATAGGAGCTAGTGCGGGCTACCTCTCCTTTGCGAGCTATTGTATAGGAGCGGGCGCACCAAAGGGTAGCGGTTGTGGGTTTTCCCTGTCATCACAAATAAAATAAAATAGGATTTGGTGCAAAAGATAGTGTTGGATCGGAGATGGTCTATGCTCCTTTCATTGGTTGGCTAGTAGCACGCGGATTGAGAAGTAATTGAACAGAATGTCCTAGTTGGAGTATAAGTGCTTCTTGGTGCTGTAGTGAAATTTCTGTCTTAGGCTTTTACTGAGTAGTAGCACTGTGTTACTGCATATATGATACAACAACAACATACTCAATATAGTTCCACAAGTAGGGTATGGGGAGGGTGGGGTGTAGACAGACCTTACTCCTACCTTTGTGGGGGTAGAGAGGTTGTTTCCGATAGACCCTTGTCTGAAGAAAAAACGTTTTTCAGAAAATGGTTGAAAGAAATGCTACTGCATATATGATACAAAATTAAAAAGCAGACTTCATACGGATATGTATTTAATAGTACTTTCTGTTGGATCTTTCCAATATTTATGTTCTGTTTGGAGGCATTGGGGCTTGGGCCATGATGGAACTGGAACAGTTATGTGGGCTGTTTTTTTTTCATACAGATTGTGCATTGCTTGTCAATTGTGCAGAGATGGGAATGAAAACAGTTTTCCAGTATTTACTCTTCGGGTTCCTCATTAAACTGTTTGGGATGTATTTTAATATGGGGAGAAGAAAATCTTGATGTGCAACTTACCAAAAAAAGTAAATCTTGATATGCCTGTTTGAAGAAATTCTATTCAGTATGTAGGTTGACCTAGTCATAGTTTATAGCAAAGCGGACAGTTTGGAGTTCCTTTGATTATGACCTGTGTTAAGACTTGAGACAAAACCTTGCCTAATTTTGAAGGAGCAGAAATGAGGAAATGATTTTGGTACTTTTAGAAGCTGGGAAATGGTTCTTCTTGTTCCTTTTGTTTACAGAACCAGAAAGAAGCTCTTATTCCATTGAGTTACGGGAAATCATCTTGTCTGGGACCTTCAACCTACCCAAGCCCATCAGAAATGAGTGTCCTTTACAGTGAAGGAATATATTCTGGATTTCTGGCTTTTCCTCTTCCTTCATTTGTAATGTAAGACCATTCTCCTCGGGGATTGTCCAATGTGTGAAAGAGTAGACCACAAGAAGGATTTGACATCAGTGACATGAAGAATGTGAAATACGTACTACTCCTTTTAACGATTTAGTGGTGTGTTTTCCTTTCTGCATATCTTTATATGCTCTACTTGTTTGATTAAGAACGAATGCCCCATGTAGATTGATTCAGCACTCAAATGTTTCATGTAAGGTAATCATGCACGGGGAATATGTCCACATGCTTGAAAATCTATTTCGTTGAGTGTTTTATTGGGTGTACACTTAAAGGTTAACTTTCACATCACACACAATATCTTTTTAATTTTTTTTTATTGGTAACACTAAAATCTGGATTGAGGCAAGGACTGAAATTATGCAGGAGACTATGAATGCTCAAATGCAAGATGCATTATCCCTTCCTCAAGTTAAAGCAACATTTCGCCTTGGATCAGAATCATACTCTGTTGAGGCATGTAAAGGGATTATATCTGAGCAACTGATATCTATGAAAGAGCAAAGCATGACCATACTGAAGGACTATATCACCAAGCATAATGTTCCAAATGAAGTCCCTGATGAACCAGAAGAGTTTTCTTCAGAAGATGATGGTGAAGTTCCCGAGCAGCCCCCTGTAAAGTCCAATAAGCGCAAGTAAATCTATTTTCTTCCTCTGCTTATGTCTTTGTAGGTTTTTTTGTTTTTTTATGATGGCTGTTAACACTCTCTTACATGGTGAAAATTGTAGTTGATAAAGATGTGGAATTAATTGCCAGTTGCCATTACTTGAGATCAAGGGAACTTTTTTAGTATTTTACAAGAGTGTGATGTGAATGCTTGGTGAAAGTTTCCATCTCTTTAATTGGACAATTTTTCTCTAGAATGGAGTCTAACCAAAGGTCCTTTTGTTTGTTCAAGCTTTTTATGTTTTGAGGAATGTATTCGTACTTCATATTTTGGTTTTCTAAATGATTGATCAATAGTCACTACAATGTTATGGTTGTGCACAATTTCTCCATTGCTGTCTCGATTTCTCCTGTTTATTCATGTGAGTAAAATGGTCCTTGCAATATTTTGGAAGAAAATAACATGTAGTTCTAGTGAATATTAGCTAGTTGAGTCTCATCTTTCTGCTAAGAAAGCCAGACTTTCTTTACAAACATGCTTCGGCTAATGAAGTCATAGAAGTTTTGCACAGGCTAGCAGCAAAGTAGTGCAACCTAGCCATGGAGAGCACTTTCATACCATTTGGAGTTCACTCAAAGTCTTTGAAACAGCTGATGGATACTCATCAGCATCATATGCAGAATTAACCTGGGTATTCTCATATTTCTCTTCATCATCCCATAATACATATGCTTCCTCTCCATGGATAGCGTCATCTCCAATTTGCAACACCCCTTCGTCCAACCTAAGAGGCACTATCAACTTGATGAACAGACAGACCAAGCTTGTCGTGACAATATTTAGACACACTATGAATCCGACACCAGCTAGTTGAGCTCCCATTTGCCGTAGCCCAGCAGAGGTCCGGCCTGTCTGCAAACCATAGGCTAAGCCGATGTACCTTTCCCATTCAGGTACGAGGTAAAATAGCCGACAGAGCTTTGGCACAGCGAAAAATCCAGTGAGGATACCGCCTAAAATTCCTGCTAGGGCATGGGTATGGAAGACAGATAAGGTGTCGTCGACATGCCTTAAGAGCTTGACCTTCTTGTGAAGGATTGTCATTGTGTACCATGGAACACTTCCTGAAATTAAGCCCATCAGGATGGCCGCCCAACTTTGAACAACTCCTGTAGGTAGTGAATCTACTGGTTAGTCTAGCATGTCGAAATTTATACCCAGTCACTGCACTAAATGAGAACGTACCTGCACCAGGGGTGATGCAAACAAGGCCGGTGATCATGCCATTAACAGCTCCGATCACAGAGGGTTTGCCAGAAACAGCAATATCTAGGACCAGCCAAGTAAGGAGGCTGGTGGCGGTGCAGACATGTGTGTTCAATATGGCTAAGGAGGCGTCAGTGCTGGCGGTATAAGGTGCTCCTCCGTTGAACCCAGTCCAACCCATCCATAAAAGGCCGGCGCCGGCTAACATCATGAGAATGTTGTTTGGTGGAAACCTCTCTCTATCTTTGTCCAGCCTGGGACCTACCTGTTATAATATTAATATTGCCATGCAACATTCCAAGTTATGATCAGGACAAGAAGATCACCTCAAAGTAAATCTAGAGAGAGTTGAAGTAGTAATATTCCACTTTAATGGTTGTACAGAGGGGACGAGGGTCTTGTGTTAGCTTCATGCTTTCGGGTTCGAGCCCTAGTATGGAGAAAATCTTGTTGGTAGTGCCACTCCACATGGCCTTGCAGTGCGCGATTAGGATTAGGATGTAGTCGGTGCGAAAAATAAAAAGAAGAAACTTACCCAATAAGCCGCAGTAAATCCAGCAACACCAGAAGAGAGATGAATAACAAAGCCTCCTGCAAAATCAATCACTCCTAGCTTGGACAGCCATCCATCTGGGCACCAAATGCTAAATGCGCCAATGGTATACGAAAAAGTATGCCACAAAGGCACGAACAACATCCAAGCTATAAAATTCATCCTCCCAAGAAGTGCCCCGGCGATCAATATTGGCGTAATGGCTGCAAAAACAAACTGAAAAAACACCATTGTTGCTGTGGGGAAGTATCCCAGAAATGCTTGTCTAAGAAGGTACTTCTCGTCCAAGGCAATGGACGGTTTTCCCCAGAAGGCCACGAGCTTGTCACCGAACGACATCCGGTAGCCCCATCCAACCCAACATATGAGAACAGAGGCAAAGGCATAGAGTGCCATGAAAGCGGAATTAATTGCCCATTTCTTCTTTACCATGCCACCATAGAGAATGACTAAGCCGGGCACACACTGGAGCCCGACTAGGGTGGCAGCAGTGAGCTGCCACGCGTTGTCACCTTTGTTCATCCATTCCGGACTTGCCTCGTCTGGTGATAGATTTGAGGGAAGTTCCATTAGTGATAGCGTTCCTTGCAAGATTATTCGTGATTCAACTACGTACTGGAGCAACGGGTGCTGTTTTTTTTCTCTTTAGTTCTTTGTAATTGTTACCTATACCTATATGATTCAGAATATGATGGGATAGTGACTGTCTAAGAAATAAGCAAATGGCTTTCGATTGTTAGTTTAATATGAAGTATCATATGTGCTATTTGTGTCTTTTCTTCAAGAGTGTAAGTGATGCCATTGCCGGCTTCGGTTTAGCTAGTTGGCCTGCTCTTGTGTTCCAGTATGGATTATTCAAATATAATTCTTTAAAGAGATTACGGTGAAAAACACATTTAAACTATTGTACTTTTTTTTGCGAGTGTCACATATCAACTATATGTTGTTCCGTTTTTCTACTTGAACTATTACCATTTATGTATTGAAACACACCAGATGAGTAGATAGTGATAGTTTTGATAGGAAAAGGGAACAAGAACAGTTGGAGGGGTGAAACTCGCGAAAAAATGATAGGTCAGATGTGTGTGTTGTTTGATCATTAACTCTTCTACGAAAGGAACATAATGTAAGTGTACGTAATATGAAGGAAAATCACAAGGAAAGGACCAAGAACAACAAAAGAAAAGGAATCAAGAAATTAAAGAACAGGAAAATTTGAAAGTAAATTCAATGATTATCTTCCGTTTTCATGGGTTTTTTTTTAAACAGAAAAGTTTTTATCATTTTTCTCAAGAATATTCATCGCTCAGAAAAAAGAAAAAAAAAAGAGTTGCTAAATATTGGTTGAACTCCTTTTAATTATAAGAATAAATAATTTAGTTATACAAAAAAATTCCTAAGCATGCAAATTTCTTCTTGATAAACTAATCTATTTTTTTTAAACAATGAGAAGATTATAATTATAATTAAATGAATTAAAAAAAGCCTATTATAAAAAGAAAAAAAAGACTTTAAGGACATGACATGTCAACTAGGAGAGAAAGAAGTTTTTGAAGTGTTAACTGTTTTTAAAGAAAAATAGTAATAGTTGAGTGATATTTTTATTGAATAAAAGTGATATTTGAAAATAATTTTCAAAATTTGGATGACCATTTAGAAAATTAGCATCACAGTTTAATTCCTATAATACTTATATGGTTAGAGATATAAGTTCAATTCATCTCACACAAATTATGTCTGAGCAAGACATAACTTAATTTTTACAAAACTTATATAACTAAAGATAAAGTTTTAATTTTAGAATCCACTTAACCTACATAACCAGTGGCGGATCTACCTTGTGCATAATGGGTGCTTAATCACCCACTGCCTTTTGTGACAAACAGTAATATTTATGTATAAAAAATTAGTATTTCATTGAAATGTATTAATTGAGCACCCATTTTTAAGTAGTAATTTTTGAGTTAAAAACGTTGAACACCCATAATATAAAATTTCTGGATCCGCCACTGTACATAACCTATATTTGTAATAAACTAGACATAATATAGAAGTTTAGTCGACATCAACCATTGAAGAAGCTCATTTTGAATTCGCCACTCCATTGACTAAAAAAGGAGTAACCAATATTTTCAAAAGTTTTGACGAAAAAGGATTGAATGTAACATCATAAAATGATTTAAATATATTTCTCATTATACTTTCCATTTAAATATATCTTTTTTGTTATTTATTTTTTGACATAAATTTAATTTTAATTCTGACTAAAAAACTATGTGTTAAATTCAAAAACAAATAATTCACCTCTAATTTTAAATATCCATTTTGTTTTTTAGAAATTCACATGCTTAACTCGACCTTCCTTGACCTATTTTCTTTTCTTTTTCTCTTTTCAATACCCAAAACATTAAAACTCTGGCACATTAAAATTCTTTTTTTAAAAAAAGAAAGTTATATTTTTGGATGCATCCTTTTGCAGTCTAAGCTTTCAGCACTCCACTGATCTTCGTTCAACTCCTAAGCGTTCTTGCTTCTTGTAAATAGACAAATAGCATATGACATATAATTCAAATGGTGAATTATAAATTTGATTTGTAGTAAAAAAAAATTGTGTGTGGAAATACATAAAATGCCTCTAAAGTACTTCCTCCATTTCAAATTGAGTAACATGCTTTGATTTGATATGAAATATAAGTAAATAATTTTTTTGTTAAAATTTTGTTGTCTAAAATTAAAAATTTGATTAAATATATTAAAATACTTTTTTACCATGTAGTCTAAAACATGTTAGTTGCTATAAAAAGGAAAGGATCATTTTTTTTAAACTTATTAAAATAAAATATAGATCAAATAAATTGAAACGGAGGAAAATAATACATTTTTGCGCCTTACGGCCTTTAATTATGGGTTCTATCACCTCCTTAATGTTGTTAAAAATTGATAGATCAACCTTTAAAACTTTGTATTAAAAGAGAAGACGAAAAGAAAAAAAATGGCTCGGCTCAGATTAAACGGGGTGTTGTATTTAAAATTGAAAGCGAGTTATTTAATTTTGAGTTTGACACGTATTCTTTCGTGGAAACTCAAAATTAAAGATAAGTCTTTTTCTGTCATTATATTATGTCAAACATAATAATTTGTATAAATCTATAAGAAAAATAGGATACAAGATAGAGCTACTATGAAAAAGTTATGATTGTAAAATAATAAGGAAATATCAAATGTAAAAAGAAAATGTTAAAGGTAACGACACAATCACACCAAATCAATCATTACATAAAATGAGACATGTTATTAAGTATTATCTAACTGTGAATTTAATGATATAATATAATAGAATTTAAATAACAATTAAAATAAATATTATATTTAAATGAATAGTACAATACAATACAATACGATGCAAAATTGGGGGAAGTTATTTAATTTTGACAAGC